AGATTATTATTGTTATTATTATTTGAGTCAATACCAATGGGAGTTACTAATACATACCTCTGAGAACGACAAGTTTTTTCACGGGGACGCCTCTGCACCGTTGCGTAACCACCGGACCCAAGGTTTTGTTTCCGGTGGTTTAATCGACTGGTCTTGGCGCTTTACACTGAAAGCAGAATTCGTCGATGGCCGGATGCAGAGTATCGGCACATGCGAGGCAGAATTCACTGCCATTTTCGCCGCTAACAAGATAGTACTTGTTATGTGCCCCCGTGATGCCAATAATAGTCCAGATATCCTTTCGATAGATATCCGGATAATTACGGCATGGCTAATAAAATTGCATAATTATATATATAAGTCTACAATTAATTAAACAGTAATAAGACATACATAGTATATTTGCAACTCGTAAGCTTACCTTGTCGTAAATTGACTCGTCCGTTCCGTCGTCTACCTCAACTGGAATCAGACTCATCTTTTTATAGGTCGTTGTGGGTAGACCGTATAAAAAGTATCTGCCAGTTTCTGAGTCGGCAGCGTCAAAGTTCTCGAAAGGGATCCACTCCAGGTAGGCGTCGTTGGGCGTTGTGGATTTCCCTTGGACAATTTCCTCGAACGAAATCCACTCCGGGTAGGCGTCGTTGGGAGCTGTGAATTCCCCTTGCAATTTCTTGATAAGAACAAATTGTTCATCGTTGGGTGTTGCTTGCAGGTAGGCCGTGATAGCGTGATGGAACATATTTGGAGGTTTGTATATTTGTATGTGTGTATGTGTTGTTGGTGTGTCGCCCATTAGAAATTAGAATTTCAGTAAGAAAGCTATTTTTCGCTTTATATAATATCTGAATTTATCCGAAATATTTTCTTTTCTAGTGTAGACAAAGAAATGGTATTAGTGGATGTGTAACACTTTGGAATGGGGCATTAACCTTCGTGCTCAGGGATCTGTGCTACGGTGGTGGGATCATTCCGGACAGAGTTAACATAGTCTATTGCTGCGTCAAGTAAAAAGTAACGTGACCGTTTTTCAAATGCACAATCTATCGTTCCAACCGTAAATCGTCCTGAAAAAAAAGAGCATGTAAATAGATACTTAATGATCGCAATAGTTGAACATTTAAAAATCCAACTGTGATGTATTCTGAACAAAAAAAAATTCGTGTCCTTTCTTTACTATGATTTGGTTATCCGCACTCCCGCCAATTACTTACACCAAGTCATACGTTGCACGCATCATCAGCTTTATTGTTGATGCATCACCATATATAGGGTCTAACGGTCGTTCCGACCTTCCTGATTAGTCAATGTGCAACACGTAATAGTAAGGTGAATAACGTCATTCAAACAAACGCAAGTCGTGCAAAGGGACTTTATTGTCCCATTTTAGATGCCTGATGGGTATCTACCTGTGAAAGCGGATCGAAAAAGACGCCATGAATAAAGTTTGCTCTACAATTAACAATTGACTAATAAACGAAGTGTAATTTTTCTATCCACGGATAAAGAATTAC